CGCACAGCCAGGGGGCGGGTGAGGAGTCGTCGGTCCGGCAGGTAAGGACCGGGCGGCGGGCGCGCCATGCGCCCCAGTGCGGCGCGGGGCTGGAGCCCGTCGGTGGCCTCGCGCGCGGTGCGCCTGGTCCAGGCGCCGCGGGCAGGGCGGCGGCACTGGCTTCTCACGCGCTGCCCACGCGCCGGTCCTGCCGCGGAGCCGTGGGGCACGCGGCTGTTGGTGACTGCGGCTTCGGGTCGCGATTCCTCCTGTATGGAACGCGAAGGTGAGCGGACCGTGACACATCAAGCCTCCCCTGCGGCCGCGTCGGGGAGCGCTGGGAGGCTTTTGTTTTTGATTTGGAGAGGTGCCGAGCTGTGCGCGCCTCGGTGCAGGGAAAGACCGGGACGAGCGAGTTTCTCAGTGAGCCGGTTCTCGTCCTGGGGGCCAAGAGGACGGGCGCTTTCTAAGAGACTCACTCTTTGCTTCCTTTACCCAAACATGGCCTCTGAGGCCCGGACTCAGGAATGGGCTCGGCCGTTCGCTGGCTGCTGAGCGTGGTTCGCAGACCGGGCTCCGGGAGCTGACCCTGCGGCTTGCACTCTCTATAGCTCCCGGCTCTGTCCCATCCTGTCCATGCCTCAAAGCCTCCACACCCTCCTTCACGCAGTTTTACACGTCTGAGGAATGTAGTGTCGGTTTGTCACTGGGTTGTGAAGAAGCCACCGAAAGTGGTGGCTAAAACAACTCCGCTGTGTTTGTTCAGACTTGGATGCAGAGAAAAATGGTCCCCCTAGAGCTGCATCGTGCTCTCTCTGCCTTCCTGTATGGACCTTGGGCGGTGAGTGTGCCTGGTTCGCGCGCGCGCGCGCGTGTGTGTGTGTGTGTGCACGCGCGCGCACGCAATTGAAATACTGCTAGTCGATCCAAATACAAAAAAAAAAAGAAAGCCTTTTCAGAAGTTGCTTGCACGAGCACCACTCCCTTGGCTGTGACATTGTATAAACTCTCCTACTCTTTTTGCTATGTTACTCAAAACTTCTGAAAGTTTGAAAGAGACTTACGGGGTAAAGTGGATAGGTAGACCAGTTAGTCCCGTTTCTCATGTAAAATTATTACTAGTATATCTTTGTGATTTTCCCGGGCAAGGTCCATAAAGTCATCCAGGGCCACAGATGGACGTGGACAGTACTGGTATTCCTGAAGCAAACTGTATTCATAGTGATTTTTTAAGTATCAATTACAGTGACAGCATAGTGGTTAAGGGCTCAGCTGCTAACTGAAAGGTCAGCGGTTCGAACCCACCCGACACTCCACAGGAGAAAGATGGTGCAGTCTGCATCTGCCGAGATTTACAGCCTCGGAAGCTCTCTAGGGCAGTTCTACTCTGTCCTAGAGTGTCGCTGTGAGTTGGAATTGAAGCAGCAGCAACAGGTTTGGTTTGGGATTCTACTATCGACTCTTTCCTTTTATTCCTGAATGTGAAGAATACACAGTCGGTTCTTAAGACCAGCTTTGGAATGCTATTTGAAAATTGTGAAATTATCCCCAGGAAATGTGGTGGAGTGGAGGTGACATCCTCACATCGTTGTTGTTGTTGTTATGTGCTGTCAAGTCGGCCCGACTCATAGTGACCCCTCCTTGGGTTTCTGAGGCAGTATCACTATGGAAGTAGATTGCCCAACCTTCCTTCCGAGGAGTGGCTGGTGGGTTTGAACTGCCAGCCTTCTGGTGAGCAGTCAAGTGCCTTAGGCTTACTGAAATACATATTTAGAGATTAGGTGCTCTGGTGGATAGTGGACAGGCATTTGGCTGCTAACCAGTGGGTCAGCAGTTCAAACCCACCAGCTGCTCCATGGAAGGAAGATATGGTGATCTCCTTTCCTTAAGATCTACAGCTTCAGAAACCTAATGGGGGTCGCTATGAGTTTGAATCCACACGATGGCAGTGAGTTTTGGTTTTTTTTTTTTTTTTTTTTTTTTTTAGTTTATTTAGAGATTAAACACATGGCACTTTGAAAGGAAAGAATAGGGATGCAAGGGGAAAGAAGGAGCGAAGTGTCCTGAGGTCTCCACTGGCTTCCTTGCCTCTAACCCCACATGAGACCTCCTTGTCTCTGGTCCCTACCCTCTGTCTTCATTCCCATCCAACCTCTGATCATTCTTAAGGAGCTCTGGTGGTGTAGTGCCTAAGGCATTTGACTGCTAACCAGAAGGCTGGCGGTTCAAACTCACCAGCCACTCCGTGGAAGGAAGATGGGGCAATTTACTTCCATAAAGATTTACTGCTTCAGAAACCCAGAGGAGGTTGCTGTGAGTCAGAATTGACTCGAGGACAGTGAGTTAGAGTTGAGGCTGATCATTCTTAACCTAGGCTGTGCCACCTTGGGTGTGGGGATGTATCCGTTCCATCCCAAAGCCATGAGTGTCAATGTGTCGTATCTCTGCTATTAAAAACAGACACATACACAGTCTTGGTGTATTAAATCATTGCATTCCTGTGTATATTTCTTCTTCATGTTGGCTGAAGATCAAGGGGGAAGAACCATAGAATTTCCAGATTCCCAGTGTGCCCATGAGTAAAACCAAATGCTCAATGGGACTGATGTCTTCCTTGGTGGCTCCGGCCAAGGAGCCCAACGCTATGGGCCCGAAGGAGGTGGAGCTCATTCTGGTCAAGGAGCAAAATGGAGTGCAACTCACCAACTCCACCCTCATCAACCCAGCGCAGACCCCCGTGGAGCCCCACGAGCGGGAGACCTGGAGCAAGAAAATTGACTTTCTGCTCTCCGTGATTGGCTTCGCAGTGGACTTAGCCAACGTCTGGCGGTTTCCTTACCTTTGCTACAAAAATGGAGGTGGTAAGTCCCATCTCAGTGGTGCTGTACACTGCTGCTAGACAGAGGTCCCAAGGGGCAGCTAGAGGCAGTGCTTGGAAGGAATGGGTAAACATTGACAAGAAAATAGTGTCCTCTTTAGCAGAGATGAGTCCTTGCTTAGTATCTGTGGGGACATTTGCTCCCAGGTGGATTGTGCAAATTCATAGCATAAGAGCTCAAAGCAGTTTAGTTTCACCTCTGTGTTTTGCATTTGAGGACACAGAGGCCAGGAAAGAAAGGACAGGGCAGAAGAAGGTAGAGACACATGGGCCCTGCCTCCTATTTCTAACTTGATTCACTTTGGAAAGAGACTTCTCAAAGGCCCAAAGACTAGTCTCATTGACTGCTTACACAGTATTTACAAAGTAATTGGAAGCACTTGGATGGGGAGATAGAAGTGCTTTCTCTCCCATTCACTAGCCCAATCATCATCTGGGCTTTGAGTAGACAGAGAGGAAGACAATGAGGAAGAAGAAGACTGGGGAGAGGACGAAGGTGAGGGGCTTGAAGCAACAGGAGATGGCCCTGGAAGTGTACCAGTTTCTACTCCCTTCTCCCACCATCTCCTGAACTCAATCATGATTCAGTCAGCCATGTAATCATGACTATTTTGGCTCTTGAGTCAGAAAACTAAGAAAAGGGGCAGGGCCACTCCAAACCTTCAAATTGAGAAGTTGATTAAGTGGGTTTTCATTCCCATGAGTCTCCCTTGGCCTTCCTTTCTCTACAACGTATTGACTACTCTGGGCTATACACTGAAGGACTTCAGAAGAGTTTCTTGGAGAAGGCTTTGCAGTGTGCCCGTGAACAAGCTGCATTATTACACCCATCTTAAAGATAGAGAGGCCAAAGCACACGCCGATAGAGTAAGTTACCCAGACAGAGGAGGCGCTCCACACTTCCTCTCACCAACCCGGGAGGAGGGCCATGGTGGGGGCCTCCCTTACTCCATTACTCCCTTACTCCAGAAGCTGAGCCGCAGGACTCTGGGCTTTGTGCCCAGGCCTGGAAGTGAACTTATAAGAGGGACCAGATACTACCTTGGAGGGGTTCACAGCCTCTGGAACAGGACCTACCAGAAAGAGCCACAGCTCTAAGCCCTGAGTCAGGCTCTGGATACTGGGAAGTCAGGTATAGGGTGATAGAGCTTGCTGAGGGTCAGGATCCCAGATCCCAGAGAATTTATGACTTGAGAAGTCAACAGGCTTAAGGCAAGAGGAGGGGACAGCCATTTCCACCAGAGGAGCTGTCGGGCAGGCAGGGGAAGGGACAGCCCCAGGAGAAGAGCCAGGAATGGGCAGGACTTCCTCTGCTCTGTTAAGGGGTTTGGGGTTGGGGATGACTCGGGGTTTCAGCAAGGCACTGTGAGGGACAGGCGTGGAGGTGAGAGGCTCTCCTCCAACCTGGGATTTCCCATTGGAGAGTGGCCTTCCAGGGAGCCTCAAGTGAAAGCAGGTGCCCCCAAGACTCAGGTGGCCACCTAGGAGGGCTGAGCCATGGTCCCACTGGTCAGAAGCAGCCCTTTGTGTAACTCGCCTCAACATGCTGTTGTGTCCCACAGGTGCCTTCCTGGTCCCCTACCTCTTCTTCATGGTCATTGCCGGGATGCCACTCTTCTACATGGAGCTGGCCCTTGGGCAGTTCAACAGGGAAGGGGCTGCTGGTGTCTGGAAAATCTGCCCCATTCTGAAAGGTACGCGCAGGAATGCCTCCTTTTTTCGCTCAGGTGCAGCACAGACACGCACCATTTCATTTTTGGATTTACTTTAAAAATCTGTAATAACCAAGGATTTGAGAGTGTATTCCATTGGTCTCAGGTGAAGAGGCCAGGCAATTCATTAGAGTGTTATCTCATCAAGGACTTTGAATAATTCATAAGATAAGACATCTATCTATCCATCCATTTGCCACCTGTCTACTATTTATCTCTTCATCCATTCATCACTTACCTACTATCTGTCAATCATCTGTCTTCTATCTATCCATCCATTACCATCTTCTATCATCTATCCATCCATCCATCTATCCATCCATTTTCTATTTATCCACCTATCATCTACTATTTATCTACTATACATAATTTATCTACTATCAATCATCTGTCTATCTATCTATCCATCATCTATTTACCTATTCTTCCATCAGTTGTCTGCCTTCTATCCATCCATCCACCCATCCTTCTATCCATCTACCTCCCTACTTATTCACTGAGTTCTCAAGGCTTCTGGAGCAACCCCATAGTACAGTGAAATGAAAACACCTCATTTTGAGCCTAGGGGGCCTGCCTGTCAAGTATCCCTTCACTCACCCTCATCAGCAGCCTGTGGTGGGCACACCCTGCTGTGGTCCCCTTTTTAGAGATGCATATACCAAGGGCTTGAGTTGCAGGGCTTGAGTAACTCTACCCCGATCACCTTGTGAGTGGCAGAGTGGGATTGGATCCCAGCCTGTGTGAGCCTCAAGTCCAGTCTGTGGGTCATGCCTGCCCACTGGGCTGATGCCACCTCTTAGGACCAGATGGTCAGGGAAGACATGGGAGGGTTTCCCCAGAGATATGTGGGATGCACCCACTTTAGACAGTTGATTCTCATGAAAAAGATGACTATAAAAGACCTGTCTTGGGATTTTCTCTGAAGTTCTTGAAAAGTTGAACTGTTTGGAAGACTACTGCAGTGCCCCGTAGGTATCCCAGGAGATGCTGTCGATGATAGGTCAGTGGGTTTATAATCAGAGTCCAGTCTTAGCAATGAAAATAAGGGGGCTCGCACAGCTGCAAGGTCTCCATGGGAGAAAATAGCCCTGTTGCAGCAGTGGAAACTGTAAGGCTGGTCAGGCGTGATGGCTCTTCCAGGGCATTTAGTTTTTATTCATCCTTAATGGCCAACTTGGGGAATCTTACTACTTTTAGCTGGTTTTTCTTAGACTAAATTATTCATGGACCCATGCCGAAACAAACGACACGAAGAGAGACCCATGCTCTCCTCCCTACACAAACTCATCTTTAGAATGAAAGAAGCAGACACTCTCAGACAGATAGCAGGAGCTGGGTGCCCCTTTGTAGGATTTGAGTGTAGAAGTCAAAGCTTCTAAGAAAGATCAGAAAGAAAGATTGAGTTGGCTCTGACTCACAGCGACTGGACGTGTGTCAGAGTGGAACCGTGCTCCACGGGCTTCTCAGGGTTTCGGAAGTGGATCTCCAGGCCTTTCTTTCAAGGCACCCTTTGGGTGAACTTGAACTCTTAACTGTTCAATTAGCAGTCAAGTGTGTGCACCCTTTGCACCACCCAGGAACTCCAAAGCTTTCCTCAGTTCCCTTCACAGATGAATGGGACCACTAAGGAGAAGCACCAGGCTTTAGAGGAGATATGGGTGTCACATTGGACATATGATTGTCCATTTACTGGCCCGATACTTATATGATTGCAGTCAGTGAAGCAGAACTGAGGAGTCAAGACACAAATGAGTTAATGGTGTCCTCACAGCACTGGTCCCAAGTACAGAGAAAGGTGGCCCTCCTGAGTCTGATCATGACCTGTGAAGGGCTTAGGCTGCAGTGCATATCCGTATAGTACCTGCCTGTTCAGCTCATCAAAGAGTTGGATTGGAGATTAGGGTTGTCCATCCTCGGGTGAACCTAGGAGTGGACAGGGAAGAGATAACCAGCCTCATGCCATACGAAGATTACGTTCTGCATTGTTGGATTTTCAAGAATCATGACTTGACCTCATTGGGACCTAGAGTGTCCTAAATGTCTTATATGACACTAGCCTGTGTCCCCACCACCTCCAGGGAACCTAATATTGTATCAAATTAAATTCCATTCCTATGTACAGGGCAGGGGCTAGGGACTGTGGAGGTGAGAGAGGACAGTGTTGTAGCCTCCAGGAGCTCTGGGCCAGCCAGTGAAAACTAATTTCCATGCTTATGTCATACTGTGAAGAGATTTTTCTCTAAAAAAACTCCAAAGGGAAGTTTAAAATTGCCACTTATAAAACGTCAGTAAACAATTCACAAGAATTTCAAAGAACCAAATCATAAGAAACTTAACTTGGGTTGATAGAGAAAATCTTAGTTAAATGGGTGTGACTGTCATCACCCCAAAGGAGCTCTGGTGGTACAGTGGTTAAACCATTTGGCTGCTAACCAAAAGGTCAGTTGTTAGAACCCACCAAACACTCTGTGGGAGAACGATGAGGCAGTCTGCTTCTGTAAAGATTTACAGCCTCGGAAACCCTGTGGGACTCTGTCCTATACGGTCTCTCTGAGCCAGAATTGAGTCAATGGCCATGGGTTTTGGGTTTTTTAAAATTTTTTTTTATCACCTCATTATAGAGACTCTAAGAACATAGAGGCAGCAATTCCATCAGATTCCCAGTGATGTGGTGTGAGAACCATCACTAATTTAACACCCACTCCATGTCATAGCCCCATATCCCTGCTCTTTCATCCTGTGTTGACTTTTGTTTGGGTCTGAAGACTGCTCTCTATCTCTGGGGCTGTGCTGGAAGAGGAGCCCCTAGTGAGTAACCTGGGATTGAGTCCTGGTACCAGCCCTGTCCACACCATCTCATCACGGGTTACGAAGGAAGATCACAAACCCCGGAAGTGAACGGTTCAGCTTGGGTATCTTCATGTAATTGGTGCAGTGCTCTGCCAGAAATAAGGCCCCCCCCTTTTGTTTCCAAGAGGAGACAACTTGAGTAGTTCAATGTCTAAAACTATAGTTTCTCACAGGTAATTTTCTCTTTCTTCAGGTTATATTTTGTCTAAAGGATGTCAACTTGATAGGATAGCGTGATAGTTGCCTAAGTTAAACCAAACCAAACCCATTGCTCTCAAGCTGATTCTAACTCACAGTAACCCCCTTTGTGTCAGAGGAGAAGTATGGTCCATACACAGGGTTTTCTTCCCTGGAATCTTTATGGAACCGGTCACCAGGCCTTTCTAACCTGGTGCCATTGAGTGGGTGTGAACCACCAACCTTTGGGTTAGTAGTTAAGTGCAAAGCAGTTGTGCCACCCGGTTGTTATGTTGTTAGGTAGTGTTGAGTTATTTCTGACTCATAGAGACCCTGTGACAACAGAATGAACCTGCCTGGTTCTGTGCCAGCCTCACAATCTTTGCTGTGCTTGAGGCCATCATTGTAGCCACTGGGTCAGCCCAACTCATTGGGGGCGCTCCCCTTTTTGCCGATGCTCTACTTTACCAAACATGATATCCTTCTGCAGGGAATGGTCCCTTCTGTCAACATGACCAAAGTAGGTGAGACACAATTTTGCCATCCTGGCTTCTAGAAGCATTCCGATTGCACTTCTTCCAAGATAGATTTGTTGGTTCTTGTGACCATCCATGGTGTTTTCAATATTCTTTGCCGACACCACCATGCAAATGCACTACTTCTTCTTCGGTCTTCTTGCTCGTTATCCCACTTAAGTTACCTGAGGCCAGAGGCAGGTTTCTAGGGGTGCCCTCACGCACGTGCATCTCTTTCCTTGCACATCTTTTTTGTTTTCACTTTGGTAAATATAACTGTATGTATGTCCATGTCTCATTAAGAATGAGAACACATGGCTAAAGGAAGACATCAGGTGAAATGCTCAGAATAATTATTATGGATCAAAATCTCATTGGCCCTTTGTGTGTGATCCGGGTGGTACTCTCCTGTGAGGTATTCTTCTTTCTGGTGAGTGATTCTCTACAAACAGGAAGTTGAGAGCTGTCTGGAGCCCATGTCTCACTCGCTCTGTGGATATGGGGCTCGCTTCTAACCCTCGGCTTAAGAAAGTCAGATGGTCAAGCCGATAGTGGTGCTCGCAGTGGCAGTGAGGAGCTGCTTCGAAGAGGCCATGACTTGTTCCTGGTCCCCAAGGACAGTGTTCTCCAGAAACCCTCAGGGTAGATCACTGGGCCTAGATTTCTCTAAGGGACCAAAATGTTTTCATCACATGGCCCCTAAGAGGCTGGTCCTTTAGAGGCCATTCTCTCTTTCTAACACACATGCATATGTGCACACACACACACACAGAGTAAGCAGATGATGCTGAAGATACCCAGACTGACAGAGGAGGAATTCTAGCCTTTCTCCCAGTGAGTCCTGCAAGGAATGGAAAGGCTGTCCCACTCGGGAGCATGATTCCGTAATTCACCATCCACAGAAGGCCTGCCATGCTCTAAAGCATCCATGGAAGCTGGCTCCAGAGAGAGTATTGCATCATCTCGTGAAATTGGAATTTGTCTCTGACACTTCCTCTGGAGGCCAGCATCCATGGATGCACCAAACATGTAGGGTCTTCTGTGGATGCTGCAGACAGGCTCCTTTATAGCCTCCTGGAGGGTTGAGTACCTCGTTCAGCTGCATGCTTCTTTTTACACTGTCTGTTTGTCAGTGGCAGAATTCATTTCACGTATGCCATGGGAACACCACCCTATGAAGAATGCTAGCTTATGATATTTTGTATCCCATGCTATTTCAATGTGAACTATTAAACTTGCCTCTTTTCCCAAAGAATTCAAGATAGCTTAAAATAGAGGAAAACAAAGTACACACTAGGTTAATATATAAAAAATAATGGATAAGAAAATTAAAAAAAATTAGAACATTGGCATGATGAGCTGTGCTTGAGATTGCTGAGAGCCAGACAGAGAAGCCCACCGAGGTGGCCCGATAGCAGAAGGGAGTAAGCTCCTGCCTGCCCTGGGGGAGGAGTTTCCCCTGGCTGAAATGACAACAGACAGTCTCGGTGGAGTTCTGTTTAGAGGACATCGTAAGGCATGCTCTCAAGGGCATCTTCATAGCAAACAAAATGGCGAGTTTCATGTGTCTGGGAAATTAAGGAACAACTTGCTGAAGGCAGGGTCAGTGAGGGGCTACATTTTAACAATCCAGACCCACAGCTTCCCAGAAGGACAGAATTCAGAGCGACCTGAACAAAGGACTGGCAGTTGCAACCTCCTTCCCAAGGAATAGTTTCCATCCTCTGAGCACCCAGGACAAGCAGATGCCGCTGCTTTGTCGTGACGGTCCAGAACCCTGATCTGCCCTGGCGGGGGCCTCTCCACACAGCACGGCTTCTGGACAGACCAAAGGCAAAGTCAGCTCTTCCTTCAGAGAGTAGATTTGGATCCCTTCTAGTGTTTGTCAAAGATTTGTTTGCGTTCCCAAAGGTTAGAGCTGAGTACTCGGTATACAACGTTTTCACCTTGACAGTTTTTCAGATTGGGCATCTACACCACCCCCCGACCAGAAAAAACTGCTCAGGCACACTGTGGGTCATAGGTTCTGGAAAAGCGTGACTTCCTGACCTGGCTGCCTAAGCAAATTTGCTCCTAAGGCACTTGATGAACAGACTTGCAACATAGAATCATTTAATCAGCTTTTCACTGGAGAAGGCCTACAAAGGAAACCATTTTGGTGTCAATCACCACTACTACTGAACACATTTTCCAGGCAGGATTACATGGTTGGTTGAGTCGGCGCCGACTCATGGTGCGTACAACGCACCCCAGTCCTGCACTATCTTGATGATTGCTCATATGTGTCAGTCCATTGTGGCTTTGGTGTCAATCCATTCCATGGAGGGTCCCCCTCATCGTCACCGACCCTCTACTTTACCAACCATGGTGGCCAGGATTACATACCCCATTGCTGTTGAGTCAATTCCAGCTCATAGCAACCTGGTAGGGCAGAGTAGAATTGCCCATAGGTTCCCAAGGCTAGAATCTTTATGGAAGCAGACTACCACATCTTTTTCCCACAGAGTGCCTGGCAGTTCAAAGTTCTGACCTTTCAGTTAGCAGCTAAGTGCTTTAAGCACTGTGCCACCAGAGCTTCTTCAGGATTACATGTTATTGGTATTAGGTGCCGTCGAGTTGATTCTGACTTGTAGCAACCCTATATGCAACAGAAAGGAGCTTTGGTGGTATAGTGCCTAAGGCACTTGACTGCTAACCAGAAGGCTAGTTGTTCAAACCCACCAGCCCCTCTGCAGAAGGAAGACTGGGTAATGTACTTCTGTAAAGATTTACCACCTTGGAAACCCAAAGGGGGTTGGTATGGGTCAGAATCAACTCATTGGCAGTGAGGTTTTTTTTTTTTTTTTTTGCACAACAGAACAAAACACTGCCCAGTCCTGCACCAGCCTCACAATCACTGTCATGTTCAAGGCCATTGTTGCAGCCATTGTGTCAATCATCTCATTGAGGGTCTTCCTTTCTTTTTTCTTTTTTTATTGACTCTCTACTTTACCAAGCATGATATCCTTCTCCAGGGGCTGGTTCCTCCTGATAGTGTGTCCAAAGTACCCAAACTTTGTGAGATAAAGTCTCACCATTCTTGTTTCTAAGGAACATTCTGGTTGTGCTTCTTCCAAGACAGATTTGTTCATTCTTTTAGCAGTCCGTGGTATAGTCAATATTCTTCACCAACATCATAATTCAAATGCATTAGGTCTTCTTTGGACTTGCTTATTCATTGTCCAGCTTTTGTATGCATACAAGGCAATTGAAAGTACGATGGCTTGGGTTAGGCACACCTTAGTCCTCAAAGTGACATCTTTGAAAAGCAGCAATGTCGGGATTACATACCAGGCTTACTTTCTTTGAAGCCATTTCTGATCCTGCATCTGTTAGTACATAGACACAAGTACATTGTGGCACTTCTCTTTTTGCTTCCAGGGTAGGAGGAGACCTTTCATGACGTACCCTGAGCATGTGAGTGGTTACTTTTAAGGGTTATCAAAACCAAACCTAACTCACTGCCATCAAGTTGATTCCAACTCATAGTTGGCCCTCATTGGGTTTCTAAGGCTGTAAATCTTTATGGAAGCAGACTGCTTCATCTTTCTTCCATGGGGTGGCTGGTGGGTTTGAACCACTGACCTTTTGGTTAGCAGCCAAATGTCTTAACCATTACTCCACCAGAGCTCCTTTTACTCTTAAGGGTTGTTGTTAGGTGCCAAAGACCATAAAAATTAAGCCCAATCAGTTCCTTGCCAAAGTCGTCTTGAAGCCATGCTCCTCCCCCAGCACCTGTAGGCAAGACAGGGCCTGGAACTAACTGAGTCTGATAAAGTAAATTAAAGTTATAGCCCAGATGAATGGTTTTAACAAAACTGAAGAAAGAATGTTGAAAAGAAAAGAATTCTGTATGGAGCTTAGTAAAATGAGCTGCAACTCCAAGAACGTGGCTGGGCATGTCAAGCATTTTATAGGAGGAGCTCCTTGACCAATGAGAGGAAGGCCTTCTAACCACCAGACTCACCTGCCCACCACAGTCAGGATGACACAACTCCAAAGACTGCTCACCTCTGGGTTCTGTTCCTGGTCCCCAGAAGGCCCTCATAATGCTGTCTCACCTTTCAGGTGTTATAATCCTGAAATGGGCACCCCCACCCTGAAAGGTCCTGATTGTTCCCAGGATACTCTGGATGGTCATGCCTGGTTCTGTGTGGCCCTAGATGATCTTACATGACTCTGGATAACCCTGATGGATTCTGAGTGGCTGTGGATGGCAATGGATGGCCATCGATGTCTCATAGTTTCCCTGCATGGCTGTGGGTGATCCCTGATGTACCTGGGTTGCCCTTGATGATCTTGGGTGGTCCTGAATGACGCTAGGATGACTTTGAGGGGCCCTGGAGGATGCTGGGTATATCGATGGGCCTGGATGGACTTCAGTGGCCCTGAATAGTCTGGCTGGCTTGGGAGAGTGTCCCTGGGTGGGCTTGAATAGCCATGAATGGGTTTGGAAGTTAGGTAGCCCCTTCTCTCTGATCACAGCAGGAAGTGTGGCATCAGCCTCATTCACTTATCATCTTCTGTTTGTTTAAAAATGTTGCATGGAATTAAAGATGTCGGTGAACTCCCAGCACAGGGTGGAGATGTTTCCCATGAGGGAAGGTGAAAAGGGGAGTTTTGCTGATGGTGGCTGGCTGTCCCCTCCCTCTGCCCTAGGTGTGGGCTTCACAGTCATCCTCATCTCACTCTACGTCGGCTTCTTCTACAACGTCATCATCGCCTGGGCACTGCACTACTTCTTCTCATCTTTCACCATGGAGTTGCCATGGATCCACTGCAACAACACCTGGAACAGCCCTAACTGCTCAGATGCCCACTCAGACAACTCCAGCGATGGCTCAGGCTTCAACGACACCTTCAGGACCACGCCTGCTGCAGAGTACTTTGAGTGAGTGGAGGTCTGGCTCCTCTGGGCTGCCGGCAGGTCACTTGCTATATATGCTTCTGGAATGGGCAGGGATGGCAGCAGAGCTAGGTACTCGATGCCCCCCCACCCCCAGCCCAGGTATGGAGGGGACCAGCTCCACCTCCTTGCCCCTGGCCTTATCTGCATTCCGTTCCTCTAGGATTCTTGTGTGAGTATTTCTGAGTCAGGTCCCAATAGCTCTCTCCACCCTGCCCTTCCTGTGGTCCCGGGCTGAAGCTGATCTGTCCCATCCAGGCCCTCTTCTCTCTCCAGAAAGGACACCTTTTCACTTCACTAAATAGTCGTCGTCTGTCTTTGATTGTTCACTTTCCATTAGGTTTTCTTTCCTTTTCTCTCACTGCTATCGAGTCAGATCCGATTCATAGCGACCCCCCCTTGGGTTTCTAAGGCAGTATCACTAAGAGAGTAGATTGCCCAACTTTCCTTCTGAGGAGTGGCTGGTGGGTTTGCAGTCAAATGTCTTAGGCACTACGCCACCAGAGCTCCTTTTCTACAAACACAATTCGTTCTTTTACCATATCCCAATGTGGTCCCGACACTTTTCTTCCTTCTCCCACCCTGGTGCATCTGCACTTCCAGCTGGGCCTCCTGGGCTTTCCTTTGGTCTCTTCCTCCCATGGAGGCCAGGTCTGCCCCAGCTCCATGCTATGTAACCCCTGACCGTCCTGTGTCTCATCCCCCTCTGGAATCTTCTTTTCTCTAAGTCCTTTGGGGCACTTCATTGGCTCCTGCCCTTCCCTCCTACCTCACCAGTGGCCTGATCTGGAAGGGCCACCACTGCCCCGCCTGAGTCCATTGTTCCCAGGGATCCTACTTCCTGCTCAGAGTCCAGACACATGTGCCCTGGACAGCCCCTCATCCAATTATAAATCCATCTGTTCCCTTAATTACAATTTGCTTCTCTACTCAGAGTTACACTCCAGTTCTAAATCACTTTTAGGGGAAGAGTTTGCCTGGGACAGAGAGCATGCCCCAGGGCTACCAGTCTGGCCCCTGGAACCTTATACTGGACCCATCCTGACCCGAGGTGGCGGGGGTCTGTTAAATGGCACCAGAGATGCAGAGAGGGTAGCCCCCACAAGTCCAAAAATATTCAATGACTGTGAGTCCACTTTTTCTTTTGTCTGAAATCGTCCTTGCCTAATTAGATATAGGATATATTTTATTAATGCCCTCACATAAAAATTATTCTACCTACAGCTTAGCAAAAGGAACTTCTCTGAATAAAAATGAAAGTCAGGTTTCCACAGCAAATGGATACTTTTGCAGAATGTACTTTAAGTGAGGAAACAATGAGCTTAAAAACAAGCCAGAAGTTGTCGATTGAAGCTGATGAAAACTGGGCTCACAGGAAAAGCCCAGACTCAGGAGGTGGGGAGCAGAGCCCTGCTTTGCCTTTGGCTGGGGTGAAGGCCATCCCCGGGACCCCCTGGGTGTGGTATGTGGAAGAGGCATTAGGGGGAATAGCTTCCCAGACACACGGCTCGCGTCATGAAGGCCTCTTCCTGTGAGGACGGGACCGTTGCCCACCCTGGGGGTCACTGGAGCTGGGACAGCCATCTCACCTGTGCACGAGAGGGAACCGAGAGCATTTCTCCTGAGGAAAGTCAGGTTGAAGCCTGCAGGAAGGCCAGGTGGAGTCTTTTGAGAATCTGTACATCATTAGAATCTGATGTTCCATTGAGCATCAGATGCTCAGAATGGAGATACTTTGCTCTAGAGTCCCTGGTTGTGTGTGGGAAATGAGCCTCCAATACTGATTGGTGTGAGCGTTTACAGCAGAGTGTCAGGGAAGGTGGTCTGAGGCAATTTTTGAAGCATCTGGAAGGAACATTGGAAGGAGTGTGTCCCCATTGGGTGCAGGGAGACAAGTTTTGTGATGGAAAAGAATAGAGAGGCCCCTGCCAAGAGAATTCAGGAGGAGCGGTTCACAGGACTTAGTGACCAGAAGGACTGAGGGAACAAATAAGAAGAGAATGCCAGGAAGGAGTGAGATTCCAAGGTCAGTGGACATCAGGGGTTGGCCATAGCCCTCATCTAAAGCCCCTATCCCCATGAGGGGTATGGCTGGGTCCAGAGGATTGGATGGCAGGAAGAGAAGAGTTCCATTTGGGATTTATCCCCTGGGATCCATCTGAAACACCTGGGTGGGCAGATCCTGTGAGAACCTGGGGATGAAGGCAAGGCTATCTGAATGTTTGGATAAGACAGACTCTCTTGGTCTCCTGTTGTTGTTGTTGTTGTTATATGCCGTCGAGTTGGACCCAACTCATAATGACCCCTCTTTGGGTTGCTGAGGCAGTATCACTACAGAAGTAGATTGCCCAACCTTCCTTCCGAGGAGTGGCTGGTGGGTTTGAACCGCCAGCCTTTTGGTTAGCAGTCAGGTGCCTTAGGCACTAGGCTACCAGAGCTCCTTCTTGGTCTTCTAGTGCTGCTATAATAGAAATCCCACAGATGTATGGCTTGAACAAACAGGGATTTATTCTCTTACAGTTTAGGAGGCTGGAAGTCTGAATTCAAGGTGCGAGCTCTAGGGGCTGAGTGAAGGGCCCTCGACCTTGGGCTTCAGCTTTGCTTCTTGCTCCCAACCCACTGAAGCTTAAGGCTTCTCTTAACTCAGGCACCTGCTGGTCGGTGATGCTGACAAATCTAAGGTCACCAACTAAAATGGCATAGTTCCAAGATTGTCAAGCAATATGGCAGGCCACTAAACAGTCCCGACATCGGCAGACAACATGTCAGACCACTGATGGCTCAGCCAAATGCAGCACCCAGATGTGTCAAGAAATTCAGAGACCTTTCTCAAAGCTTCTTATATAATGGAAGCAGACCACATGCCTAAAGCAGCTACTCAGCTGCTCCCAGTAGATTCCACCCTGGAGTTGATCACCAGTCTCATCATGGGAAATACTACATCCAGCTGCCCCAGCCACTCAAAACCAGGCCCAGCCCAATTGACACATAACCTTATAACTACCACACAGACGTTAAACATGAGAAGCAAAGAAGACATAATTGCCTATATATATATGTGTGTGTGTGTGTGTGTGTGTGTGTTGTTGTTGTTATTTGCCGTCGAGTCAGCCCTGACTCACAGCGACCCCTCCTTGGGTTTCCGAGGCAGTATCACTACGGAAGTAGGATTGCCAGCCTTCCTTCCGAGGAGCGGCTGGTGGGTTTGAACCGCCAGCCTTCTGGTTAGCAGTGAAGTGCCTTAGGCACTATGCTACCAGAGCTCCCATATATATATATTTTAATTTAAAAAAATGTTACCTCATTTGTCAAAAT